CTAGAACTGTACCAGATCACACATTGCGGACTTAAGGTACGTTTGCTGGCAGCACTTGCGCCGGGCAACAAGTCGGCCTCGACTCACGTGACCAAGCGTGTCAGCGAAACCCCACCTCAGCGGCTGAAGACCCAAGCGCTGAGGCCCTCAACCTCGGAATTTTGAGGCGCGACATCGACGAACCCGTGAATCCGTGATTCGATAACCATCGGCGCCGCGATATTCCCATCCCCTATTGTCGCATACATATTTACTGCCTTTGGTATTCTTCATGTCGGCACTCTTTTATTGGGTATCTGGTCTGGTCGCGGAGGAAGCTGATTGTGACGGGGTCCCGAAGCTGAAGTCAAAGTCGCCTTGGTCACATCGTCAATCGCTATGAGCAGGTCCAGTTGAGCCTCGAGCAATCCGGCGACCTTCCGCGATAATTTCGCACCGTTGCGCCGTTTCCTCAGCTTTGGGCGCATCATCTGCGATCCAATCTGCTGGGACAGTACTGGGTCCAGGTTCACATCTCGTCACCGCCACAGACTGACCAACCCCACAACCCGTGGTATCAAGCATCCTTGCCGAGCATTCACATTCGGCGGATGGTCAGCAGTACAAGGTGTTTATGAACACACGCTTTGTTCTTTTTCCCTTCTTCTTTTTACAACTTCATCCATCCGTCACCGCCCACGCTGTGGCACATTCAGCGTGATGGCCACGGCTCCCGGCCAATCCGCGCGTGGCGACATAGTCTGCTATAATTGCGGCTCAACTAGTCACTGGATGATCGCCTGCCCAGAGCCAACTAGGAACAAGCCAGCGTAAGTCATATCTCTTCTGTCCGACCGATTCCTACCATCCCGGAGACCTCGCAAGATGGGGCCCCCTCCATCTGTATACTGACAAGAGCCCAGTGGTCTTGAGCGATGGAAGTCACAACACCAGGAGCGGTCTTCGGAACGTGATGGCCACGAAAAAAAGGGACCCATCGTCACCCGGTACCCTCCGCCCCCAGGCCAGGTGCCTCGATATCCAGCGCCTTACCCTTCAGGTCCCCCGCCGCCACCACCACCACCGGCAGCGCAGGGATATCCTCAGCCCGGATTCTCGCCGCCTCCTCCTTATGCAGGTGCTTATCCCCCGCCGCCGCCGCCGCAGTATGCTCCGTATCCATCCGCCCCGCCGCCGGGCCCAGTCCCGCCGCCGTTTGGACAGCCATATGCCCAGCCGCCGTATCTCGGATCGTTTCCGCCGGCTTATTATCCCGGTAACGTTCCTCCACCCCCACCGCCCCCTCCGCAGGCGGCCTTCCCTGGCCCCTATCCAAACCAGCATTACGGAGCGCCGCCTCCACCCCATCCTATCGCGCCGGGTGTATTTCCTCCGTACCCCGGCGGAGCGCCTCCCCCACCGCCAGCTGGTTACCAGTTTCCCGCGCCGGCCGTTCCCGCTAGTCGCCCGCCTCCGCCTCCGCCCCCACCGCCCGGTGGAAGCGGCTATGGTGCTCCGCTCCCCCCGCCCCCAGGCGTTGATCGCCCGCCCGGGCTCCCTCCTAGGCCTCCGGCACCGTTGTCTCAGACGCCGTCCGGCCAACACCGGAACAGGAACCAGCGACACCAAGGCTCGAGACGCAATAACGGCCATAGGGATCGCAGGGATCGCCCCGGGCACGAAGGCCCCGGTAGAGGGGGCAACGGTCGGAATGAGCGCCATTCAGACCGCCAAGCTGCGCCCGAGTCAAAGCAAGGCGGCAGGCACGCCGGCAAACAAGGATCAAAGCAGGCATCGAAGCAGTCGTCTCAGCAGACACCCAAGGACAAGGGTCACAAATCCTCATCCGACAAGAGAAGCACAGATGATGGCGACCCTGAGTGGGACCCCGGATCGGAGCAGGATATGAAGCGCGTCTTCCCTGAGATCAAGGTAAAGGAAGCCGACCCAGTTGGTATCCCGCTCCCGGCCGAGTTTACCGATGAGCCGACCATCCCTCCGGCCTATAATGCCACGTGCATCAAGTCCGAGTACATCACCGAGGATGTCGCAGCTTTCGTGACGCCCATCCGTGCGACAGCCCGGTGGTCGGAAGCGAGATGGGACCCGGTGTTCAAGCACTACCCCGGCATGATCAAACGGCGCTTCGATGGCATAGACCTCGATTATGCCTCGTACGATGCTCCTTTGCCGCTCTCTCCGTCCACCGAGATCAAGATGCCCCCGCGGTACAAGATTGATCTAGCCGCTCTGGCAGCTGCAACGCCTGATAACAACCCGACAGAGGATTCAGAAGTGAATGCTCGCGGCGGCGGCCTCTTCTCCGGTCAGCCTTCTCGCGAGCGCCATTACCGCGACACGTCGTCTTCCCGCTATGACAAGGACGGTAGAGCTGATCGCCGCTTCGTCAAGCGCCAGCGCGAAGAGTCGTTCGAGGAAGTCGAATTCGGCGGCCGTGATATGAAGAGACTCCGAGGTTCCGACTCGCGGCGCGATACACCCGGCAACGGTGGAAGCCGGCCACGCTCACCAGCCTTCGGGTCAAGTCCCACAATGAGATACAGCGTCGAAAAGGATTCGTGGTCGCCGCCCGCTGGAGGGAATCATGCTCGCACATCAAGTGACGGTCGCTTCCTGGACGTGCAGCCCGACAACAGGTCTTCATCGTCGCGCGAGGGGAGAGTTTCGCTGGCCAAGGCGCGGCATGATAGCGGCTACCATAGTGGGCAGTCCCTAGATCGGACCCGGGCTTCGCGGCGTCAGGGCGACCGTGGCCGACGCAAGTCTGACCGCTCAGCCCCCCGATCGCCAAGCGCCAGTCGTAGCCGAAGTCACAGCAGGACATCGTCTGCCAATGGTTCTCGCGGCAGGGGCGAGTCGCCGCTCACGGCGCTCGAGGCTGAACTGCTGGGTATGGCCGAGGAAGATGAAGCGCCTGCCGAGCCGCCCGTCCAGCGTGCGCCAGCTGCCAAGGCGAAGAAGAAGGCACCCATCAGGCGAAAGGTGGCGGCAGTTTATGAGTCAGTATCCCATTTGAGTTTTTTGGTGTTTGCTCGCCGCTAACCTAACACGCTCATAGCCGACGCTGGTAAAGTTGCCATTCTCCGCATGATATCGCCGCTATGTTCTCGTCAGTCATATAACTCTATACATTACGTAACGAAGCATGATGACACAGCATCTACCCGAGTATTTTGATCAGCATTTCTTATTTTCCCTCTTCTGCATGGCGTTCCAAGGTACAGGGGCCGTGATGTGCCGTGGGGTATCAACATACCTACTACCTACATGACTACATCGTCCGTTTGAGACGATACAAGGCGTTTGGGGGAGCGGATTCCATGGTGTTTTTTCTCCCAAGGATACCAGCGCGCATTTTCCCGGTTTCATCAACGGTTCGCAGTCTCTCTCGTAGGGAGGTATCTGATGGTGGGCGTTTTTATGCATCGACAACGCAGGCGGCGGTCCTCCGTAGCGTGGTCCAATACATATATAATATATAGGTGCGGCAAACGAAGATAGAGCCTGGCTGGAGATGATGCGATGGATGGCGCAGTCTCGGGTTAAGGCGTCGTTATGGATTGCTTTCAATTCGAAGTTCTTGGTGACTTTGTTCCGTTGCGTTGCGTGTGCGTGTGCGTGGATTGGTGATATGTTTTGTTGCGTTGATCGATGTACAAAACCGGCGTGCTTGTTGTGGGTGGCTTTTGAGGCTGTTTAACTCAAGTTAGCTTCTCTTCTTGCTTGGTCGGTGAATACATTCGAATCATTCTGCGGTGAGCTTGTCAGTGAAATTACCTTGGTTCAATGACACAGTGTAGAGTGTCCTCGGACCGGTGTGGTGATAGTGGTGATGAGCGGCGAGGTATTCGGCGTGGCTTAGGTGATGAGGGGCGTAGATATCCATTGGCAGTGGAAGGAAAGGAAAGGGAAAGCGAAAGAGAGGAGCGAGGAAAGGAAGCCCTTTGTACCCGTTCGTCCATTGATCTGCTGGCGGCTCCTCTGAGGGCAGCTATGTTTTTCATCGCAGCTTATCAGACGGAATCTTGACACTCTTCAGACGGTTGCTTCAGCACTTTGATTCGTACAGTGCCGTGTCTAATTCTTATCGAGGACCTCGGGTCGGTGAGGGGAGCGAGATTTACGCATGGATGTTTTACGCTTTAATGCCTGATGGTTGTTTTACTTGGTGCTTTGGACGAGGTAGGTATACACAGTCACTTTTATCTCCTGTAAGCTACCTGCCTCACTCTCTGCAGAGATCAGAGTTCTGGTCAGGGGATGGCGGACTCTATCGTTTACGGACATCAAATTGACTTGCAGCTAGTTGTCTGTGCTTGCACCAAAGACACACTGGCAGCAAAGCCGGTCACTTTTGCGCTCGTGATTCGGTTGGGCACTCACTGGGGATGCTCCTGCTCGCTATTTGATATGGGTCTTGGATCGAAGGGCTTCTGGAACGTCACGGGAGTTGGCCTTGGAGTGCCCAGGTTAGGTTGGCTTGGTGGATGGCAAATAGACTAGATTGAAAGCCTTGGTTGGTGGCTTCTGGGGTTTTTTGTAAGTGTCGAGGCACTTCACAGAAACCATTTAGTCATCTTCTCTTTACTTGTAGGCATAAAACGCCTTGCACAGCCGACAAAGACAAAGGTAAGTCTTTGTCTTGCAAAAGCCAACAATTACCCTGGTTAGAAGTATACGGCTTCCTCCCATGGGCCATCCGAATGAATCCACACCCCGGTATACCACGTTCAAGGTGCAGAACTGATGATGAGTGAGCAATTGCAGTGTCCTGTTTGTGCCCCAGAACCGGATCATCGCAGCTGGTGTCGAGAAGTACTACACCCACTAACACCGTCCGACAATATAAACCAGCACAGTGCATTTCTTGGAATTCATCATACATGCAGCAGCGAAGAATCTCCACATCCCCAACAAACTCGCGTCAACAAAAAAAGGAGTTCGTCGTTGTATATATAACCGCGATTTCCCGCTGAAGTAAACAACAATCTCAAATCAAGGGCAACGTGGCCGAGCGGTCTAAGGCGCCACGTTAAGGTGTTCAATCCTTAATCATCATCATGTGGTTTCATGATTCCGTGGTCCGAAAGGGCGTGAGTTCGAATCTCACCGTTGTCAATGAGCGATATATATGCACTGACTCCTCCTCCAAAGTGGAGTCGGTTGTTTTTTTTGTATGGGTCTCTTTTTTAGGGGGCCTGATTCAGTTTGTAGGTAGGTACGGGACATCCTCCGGCGGGAGAAGAATTTGTCCACCTTTTTTTCATCTTCCTATTGTTATTGGAATCGTGATGGCCCTGTGGTTTTCCAGAGGTTGGAGGGAGTTGGATCTCAGTTCCCCTCCGAGATTCAGCCACTGTCCCGCCATGAGCCTGACAGAGGATCCATCATGCAGCATCAACAACCCTGGTGGGTGGGTGGTGCCGAAGCGAAGCACCAGTAGGCAATCGGCGAGATCCCCCGTCGGCGGGGGCTTCAGATACGGTTGAGTCCTACCATGCTCCGATCCACCGACCCTCCGATTTGAGCTATCTGATCAGGATACTAGCTTAGCCGATAGCTGGTTCAAAGGCAGGTCATAACTCATCCGAATATGTATCTCGGCCTCGCCGCTGCTGAAATTGTCCAAATAGACGCATCAGTCTTGGGTTCCGTTCGTCGATCATCATGGTACTGGCAGAAGTGACTGTTGAACAGGTTGGGCGTTGTGAGAAATCAAGTACCTAGCAGTGTAGAACCCCCCAGGTTACTTATAGGCCCTCGAACAAAGGCTGTGAGCAAGGAATGGTACAGCAGTTGATTTCCTACTTAGATAGGAGTCCGCTCAACTAAATGTTAGGGATGTAAACGCAGCGACTTCGAAAGTTCGATAGCGTCCACCCAAATCGGCCGTCCAACTACTGCCGGATCTAGTGGTGTGTATTTAACGCGTCACAGGCTTCGACGTGGTTCCTAGAATTAGTGGATCGGACGAGGGAGGGATATATATACCATGTGATTGGCCCCAAGGGAAGAAAGACGGGCAGTTCACGAAGAAAAAAAATGCTGAGCAGGGTCTGAATGATACACACCTGTATAGGTACCTACCTAAGGTACCTTACCTACACAACCATTTCATGCCTACCCACCTACCTAGGTATCCAATGAAGCCCCTGCTCCGATAGGTACGTAGATCGCCCATGATTTATACACCATACATCCAATTCATATTATTACATTACATTACACAAAAGAAAATTCATTTCCTACCAAACCAACCTACCTACCCAAACCACACACAAAAAAAGGCAAAGGATTTTACTCGATATAAAAACTCCCCTGCGACCCATTCCCCTCCAACCCCTTCAACCCCTTTGGTTTATTATTACTATTACTCCCCGAAGGAGGAAACGGCCACCCATCATCAAAGGTAACACTCTTCTGCGACCCCGTCCTTGAAGGCGGTCCGGGCCTTTTATCTCCTCTTTTTTCTGCCTGAATACTCTGCTGCGACGAACTCCGTCTAACGGGTATCGGGATCGGCGGTTTTCCTGACAGACTTCCCTGCGACGGCGTCCTCGACGGTGCTCCTCGTTGTTGTTGTTGGGGTTGTTGACCCTGAAATCCAAGGCTAACCTGCGACGTCGAGAACCGCGGCTGCGGCGTCGGCGGGGGAACTGTCACGACCGCGCGGTCTGCCGCCGGACGGTGGTGTGTTGAAGAATACGGAGGGATGGATAGTTTCGAGGGGGTGCGTTTGACAGGGGGAGGTGGTTGGAGGGGTTGTTGGAGGGGGAGACCTAGACTCAGACCTGAGGATTCTGTGTGGTCGTTTTCGCGGTCGAAGAGCGGGGGGCGGTGTGGCTTTTCTCTTTCCTTTTCTTTTTCGAGGTCTTTCTCGTCCGAGGCCGAGGAGAAGAAGGAGAGTCCTGCTGCTGCTGCTGCTGGCGTGGTGGGCGAGAAGAAGGAGAGTCCTCCTGCGGGCGTGGTGGAAGAAGGGCTGCACACGGCAGAGGTGGTGGTGGGCTTTTCGGTGGTTTCGTTTTGGTCTGGGTGGGCTTCCAAGTACGCCTGGCGCGCTTCGTATGCTTGTGGTGGTTCGTATGAGTACGGGTATACATGCGGCTCGCTGCTCCCCGGGTGGATGTAATGGCCCTGCGACGTGGACCGGGCTGATCCGGTGGTGGTTGAGAATGTTTTTGACCTGGACGCGCGCGTGGCGGCGCGCTGGGACCGGCTGAAGAGCGGTTTCAGGGCCGGCACGCTCGCGCAGGATATGGCGACTGTCAGCTCGATCATGCTCCACAGGTTGACTTGGATTCCGTCCCTGGAAGGGTCGTCGCTGAGGGTGTAGATGTAGATGGTGTGGAGGCGGACGATGGAGGCCGTGGCTGCGAATGCGCCTACGCTGAAGATGAGGTAGAGAGCGACGCGCTCGCGGCGGGGACGTTGGATTTTGCGGAGTGTGCGGAAGGGTAGACACAAGATCCAGATGTCGGTGATGATGTTGAACGCCGAGGTCGAGTAGAAGAAGGCGGTCGTGTTGATGCATTTTCCGTCTGCAAATGGAGTCCACATTTTGTAAAGGGGGCGGCATTGCGCGAGGGTGACGACGAAGCATATGAAGAAGAAGATGGCGTGCAGGAAAATGGTACCCAGACAGAGCAGTCGGAACGTGCGTGTCACGGCGAAGCGGAGGTAGGTTAGGAGGATGGAAGTCTTGATGCAGAAGACGTTGGTGTAGTAGAGCACCTGGATCGCGAGCGTCGTCTTGATGAATGCTGACAGGTTGTCGGCTGAGAGGGTGGACGAGGGGAAGCCGACGTGGTTGTGGCGGAGGACGAAGAGCATGATAACATAGCAGATTGTGAGTGTCTATTTGCTCATCAGTTTCGCGTTTTGGTTTTTGACCAGGATAAAAGGGGGGCCATACCATGGCGGCCAACATGAAATAATCATCCAGCCCCGGGTTCCGGATCACCACGAACCGGCTGGCACTCCTCATCAACACAAAAGTCGAGGCGATGACAGTCATCACGACGGCCGTGATGATGAGGCCATCTTGATTGTGCTGGTACGACGAATCCGGGCCGGTGTCCATTTTGTTGTTCTTCTCATAGCGAGACGTCCACGATAGCGTACGGTACCCGGGATGATAGATAGAAAAAAAGAAAAGAAAAGTCTGGTTGTGATCGGGGATGGGTAGATCTTTTTGATAGTCGTTGATCGGCGCTGTCAAAAGTTCACTTGGTCGGTGGGTATAAGTGATCGACGGCGAGCTACCGATCGTGAGAGAGAAATACTACCCTACTGCTATCAAACCTCTGTGGGTTTGCTGCCGAGAGAAACCCATTGTGGTGGGTTGTTAGTTTAGGTCCCGATACTACGTCATCGTCCGCTGAGGTGTTGAATCCATCGCGATTCCACCAGCGTCTTCACCGAGCCCATGGAAGGAATCGCCCCTGATAGCCCCGTGCGTATGATAGACATGTTTAACTACAGAAATGGTAAAGCACAGAAACTTAGCTCGATCGCCACCACGTGAAAACATGGCTCTGTCTCTCCCTGTAAGTCAGGATCCAATTCCGCAGCAGCAATTGGAGCTTATCTCCAGAGTAGGTTTACAAATGTGGAATGCGGGGAACGTCGATCCTCGGGACACCGCAACCCTTCGCTCGACACAGGTGGTCGTGGTGGTGTAGTCGTGGCTGGGAACGATATCGTCATTCCTGTACGCTCGGACACTGCAGACCTTGATTTTTTCTCTTCCGCAACACAGACTCCAGGCTCGGCGGAGGCCATTTTTTTTCAAAGAAGAGGATCTGTCTCGAATGGTCATGGCTGTCGGACGATGAAGTCTGAGAGCGGAAGACGGCTCAGCATCGTTCACTTCGTCAGTTTGCATTCGGACAGTCGCAGTAGCCTGTTTCGTCTGGGTTTTTTTCAGACACCACCCGTTTACTAGATTTATACCGGATATACACTTTTTAGCGCACGAAACATGAGCCCAAGTAAAGTTGAAGGGCGAGAGAATATATCTCTTTCCTTTTACCTACGCATGACTTTTCGAACATGCTCTGCTCTAGTGAAGCGTATAGATGTCCGTCATAAGCGTTATGTTATCTTCCATCACCTTGTCCAAGGTTGCATGTAGCACGGCGGTTGATCTAAGCTCCAGAGGACATGGAGAGAAGAGTCTCCATATTATCGGCCCGAGAATGTCTTCACACCGGCGGCGCATTGCCTTCCCTGATCGTGTCAGTTCAGCTATTATCTCGGCCAGACGACGAAACACATGCGGAATGATGCCATACCTGTTTGGTGAATACTCATATCCTTTCAGCATCGCGAGAACGAATATTGATCCTCTCTCAAGCACCTCCGAGTTCCAACCCCGGCTCGATCCGCTGGCTTGTGTACAACACGTCGCCCGGCCCTCACCTTCCGCCCCAGCTTTTCCGCCCAGATTCTGTATTTCCAAGCGTGGCTTGCCAGACCGCTGGTGCGTTGCGCTATGCATCCCACCCGGACGGGTATAGTGAGCATGGATTATCGCTCCAGCGGCAGGCATAAGGCACTGGAATGTCGTTGAAGCAGTCCAATAGGTCTGAAACGCCCTACTTCTCCTTGATGTCCTTGATATCGACATCCTCAGTGGCAAACGACAGAGTGTATATCCGCCTGCTCACCATACCTCCGTAGGTGTCTTCTTCGCAGTCCAGGGTTGCTTGTATAAACGTGTCGCTAAGATGATTCCCAAAGGTCCAGGGGAAGGTATAGACAAGCTGGTCCTCGAAGAAGGCGCCGTCGACAATATCTCCCAGCCTCCGCCATTTGTCCCCCATCTCGAGACTGACCACGGCAGACGTGACTCGAAGATGTTTCCAGGATATTTCCTTTTGGATGCCCACCATAAGCCCAATATCGAATCCTTCTCGACGGATCAGAAAGAGATGTCGAACTTCGTTTCCGGGATGCAATGCCATCGTGTCAAACGTCCGAGACCAGTGCAGCTCCGTGTTCGGGCTCACGATGGTAGCTATGAGTGGAGGCCCGTCGTCTTGCACACCAAAAGCGCCCGGGAGAAAAACAAACTCGTGCGACCTCGCCTGTGCCACTTCGATGGGAATCTGGACCGG